CACACACACACACACACACACACACACATAAACATACACATAAACACACACACACAAACATACACATAAACACACACACATACACACACACACACACATAAACATACACATAAACACACACACATAAACATACACACACACACACACACACATAAACATACACATACACACACACACACACACACTAAAAATTAGAAAAAACACAACATGAATCTAAATATTAACAATACTAACAAAAATATGAAACGGGAATAAATTACATTTAAAAAATATTTACAAATTTTCAAATATTAAAAAAAGACACTTGTTTAGTTGCTACATTGAGTTTGATGCTATTTGTCAGCGATGTAACAGGCCATTAATTTACGCACATGGCAAACTATAATAAGACTCCTTTAAAACTTCAATGCCTTACACTGATTTTAAAGAATGACCTGTTTGTGTTATCAGCAATACAACACTCTATCTCTCTGTACGCCTGTTTATGCTGATCATCTTTGTGAAGCACTGAAGGCATTTGGCTGCACATCTTAACACACGGTGTGTTGTCTTTGTGAAGTTGCGGATTAAAGGACACTTTCAGTAGGTCGCCATTATCATTTAGACAAAAGAGTGTTGAAAGGACATTCTGTCGGTGCTTCATTAGCGCAGGCCTCCCTCTGTGGCCAAACCACGGCCAGCGTTTAGTGCAATTACCCCGGCAGAGAACAACTGTCAATCATCCTTAAAGGGGAAGGATTCCAATTATTAAATCTCTTAAGTCTTTTCCTCTCGCCACCGGCTCTCTGCGCGTCAGGCCAGTTTGCATGGCTTCATCCTAAAGATCAAGACCTCCATATGCTGCGGGAAATGGGACGTATCTGAGTGCTCCGGAATTTACGCTCACTTTTGGGATGCGAGAAATAGTCGTTAACGGTCGTTTTACAGTCTGAAGCAGGTGCACTGTGGGTAAAAAGTTGCGGTGTGTCATTTGCGGCGATGCTTGGAGGCGAAGACAACCCTGTGGGATTCTGACGAGCCGGAAATTTGAAGAAAAGGTGCGTGAAGTTTAGTTTTTCTGATTTAAAGATTCCTTGATTCATTTAGATTTACTTTGCATTTCAGTTACCTTTAAAATAGGTGAAACTAGGTGAATAAGACTTAATATTTACTTCTATTTGTGTATTTAAAGCATATACGTTTTAAAATGCAACACACAGTACTTTTGGTTGTTTGCACAATAGTAAATTATCTATTGGTTGAATAGATGTCTATATGCACATTCAACAGGTATGAAATGGAAGAAAAATAAAATATGACATATTATACAGCATAACTGCTCACAAACTTAAAAAAATGAAATTTCTAAGATTCTAGAAAACTCTAAAACTTCATGAATGTGCCACCACAGGTTTACGACCAGGCCTGCATCATTCTCATAAACTAAGACATTGATGGAAAAAAGTGCAAAGTTTTGTCTTCTATTTGATTGAGTGATTTTTAATTTGTAAACTAGAGCTAGATTTGAAATCTGAGCATCATTTCTGAATCTAGATGAGAGATATGTGAGATTACTAGAGCGTTTTTGCTCAGGACAAACATATGAAATATGATAAATATAAGCTAAATTCACCATTCAAGACAGATATAGATAGATTTGATTCCTATGGGTTTATTATATTGCATATTATATATATTTTTTTTTAAATGATCAAATTTAATTTATGGAAAAACTGTGAAGTTTAGTCTTCTATTTGAGCCTAATTAAACTACTTTTAATTTGTAAACTCGGAATTTAAATTAGATTTAATGAGAAAATAATAGTAACATCACTACTTCACAGAAACTAAACAAATAAGACATTAATCTATAATTGTATTTATAATGCATATACATTTTAACATGACACATGCTTTTGGTTGATTGCAAAGAATTACTTAACTTTATTAACGCTTTTACTTTAAAGTGTGATTTCCAACTGACTCAAATTGAAACAGAAATTCAATTAGTAAAACTCTCAGAAAAAATGTGCAAACACAGGCCTGAAATAAGGATTCACTGTCAGTACAGTTGCTGTGTTAAGATGCTTTAGACAGGCAAAAGGGATGAAAATGACTGACCTCATGCACAATGAGTTTCTGTCATATTCCATGTATATAATTCAGTAACAATCAATGCAGGAGAATAAAGCATCCAAACTCTGTGTCTTAGTTGTCTTTTAGTGAAAATAATGAAGCATGTAAACCATAAAAGGCCAGAACCGCTGCTTTATCAAGCTTAACTTGTCAAATGCTAAATGTTGTAGGAATATATAACTGATTTGAGCAGAATATTAATACTTGGATAACTAAATGCATTATTTTTATAATTTGTAGAAAATACAAAAAATAATTTGTGATTTTTTCTTTCCTATGGATTTAATATATCATATTTTTTCATTCGTACTAAAAATTTGTATTATTATTTTAAAAGCTTTTTAATTTTTTACAATTATAATGAATTAAATTATTTAAATGTAATTAAATTATTTTGTTACATTTTCAAATAATCGAAAAATACATAAAAAGGAACAGATACTGTCAGCACTGCTCTTAATGCAGACTTTACGGTAACACAAATAGTTGCCATCCAATATATAGCAATAAAATGAATGTGGAGAGCAGCTCAAAACATTTGATGAAATATGAAGGAAATCCTATTTTTTATGTTATATGGTGGCTATTGCTACAAATATACCCCAGCGACTTAAGACTGCTTTTGTGCTCCAGGGTCACATATGTTAAACCATAACAAACATACAAACAATATCCAATTATTTTTACATTATAAAACACAAAAACAAATAAAGTATGACCAATATCACAAGCAGTGACAACTTTTGACCATAAATACAACTGTGCTTTACCTGATTTTGTCAAATACTGTTGCACTGACCATGACAAAAAGTTATAAATATTAACCCCTTTTTGATGTCTTTAAAGTCTTATTAACCCCTGCTTTTCTTGAACAGATATTTGCCAGGGAATCTCTGGAACCACTCACAAACTGGAACCAGATTCTCTTTTGGACATAACTTGCACACGTTTCCTTGAGGAGACTTACCGTAAGGGCAGATTGGATGCATTTATCACCGGATACGATGGACATGGTGGATGATGGCTGCCTCTCAACGGACAACTACCATGATCTGGGTAAAGGCGGCGCTTCGGGGATGGGAGGCCGCGTGCACAGCATCGACGTGATTCTGGGCTTCAGTAAAGACCAGGATCCTCTGCTCAACCCGGTCGGGTCTGTCTGCACACACAAAGTGGACGGAGCAGATCTGGGAGAAGAGGAGAAACAAGTGACCTCTGACCCCTACGGCCACCTGCAAAGTCTTCCGGATAATTCACAGCAGTCAGCTGTGTATCACGGTGAGAATCGACAGGTTTACTAAATCACATCTCATTTTATAGAAAGTAAAAAGAATGTCACACATAAAGACACTACTTGCACAAAAAATATCTGAGTGGCTCGATGCAAAAAGTTCTTTACAATGCAAAATGCACTGTATACAATAATTAATGATGCATTTGCACATGCAAAACTTGCATGCAAAACAGCATTATAGAGGATTCTACTGTCCTGCATGAGCTTCCGGTCTCTAGATTTGGATCCTGAATCTCCTTCAATGTAAGTCTGTGGGTTTTTCCACCTGAGGCCTTTAATTTAACAGCACACCTTTCCCCAAACAAGACACTTGATTTGAAGACTCACTCATACTGTAAGAGATTAAATTTACACCAAAATGTAATGCTTAGGTTAGATTTGTTCAGATTTCTATGGAAGCCTGTTTCCGCCACTGAATAAAAAAAATAAAAAGGTAATTGCGACTTTGTATCTCACAATTCTGACTTTTTTCTCCCAAATGTGAGTTTACATCTGACTTATTTTCTTAGAATTGTGAGATAGAAACTTGCAATTGTGAGAAATGAAGTCAAAATCGCATGATATAAACTCACAATTGAGTTAGAGTTTCACAGGCCTAATAACAAATAATGAAACAAGCTTACAAACTACAGCTCTAATTAAACCTGTAGACATCAGTGTCACTGCAGCTGGTGTATCTAGTTTATGAAAGTTGTGTACAGCATGACGTTTAACACTTGCTAACATCGAACTAGTGGTTTTATTCTAATCCTGCCTGTCTTAATTAGATTCAACCTCACCTCAACATGTGGCGCGGTTTGCTCTTAGCCGTTTCTGCGAAATGAAAATCTCTGCTGTTGTGTTGTCAGGCTGCTTGGCCACTCTTGGGCGAAACGCTGCAGTATTGAGTGAACCTCTTAACGGCTGGATTAGCAGTTTTGGCCACATGAGGTCTACAGGTTTAACCGGTGACATCTGCGTGCTGGATTACTGGGAGGATTTACGTACCATGACAGAAGTGATGGAACTCCCAAATCTTTAGTTTTCTAGGAATTCATAAAATCGAAAGGTTAACATCTGACTCCAACACTGCACCATTTGGTAAAGGCAAAAGAACATGTAAGTAGTTTTATTAATGGTGCTTTTAAAGGGATAGTTCATCCAAAAATGAAAATTCTGCCATCATTTAATCACTGTCAAGTTGTTCCAAACCGGTATGAGTTTCTTTCTTCTGTTGAACACAAAATAAAATATTTTGAATAATGTTGGCTACGAAACAATTGACGGTAGCCATTGACTTCCATACTGTTTTTTCCATACTATAGAAGTCAATGGGTACCGTCGACTGTTTTTTTCTCAACACTCATCAAAATATCTTCTTATGTGATAAACAGAACAGATACATACATGATGAAAGAATTTTCATTTTTGGGTGATCTATCCCTTTAAGGCTCCACATTTTAACTTTAAAATGTACCTTATCCCACAACGTTTGATTCCACAAATAATGTGTCTTGTTGAGGAGAACTCTGCTGTTACTTTATAAGTGATCAGATGCACCATTTTTTGTTTACCTGTTGAATGATAAAACAGGTGAAAAAAAATCACACAGATTTAAATTTAAAGCGTCTATCATAAATATATCAGAGTAGCACAGTACTTCATAAAAAGTTATATGCACCTAAAAGTGATAAAGAAACATGCAAGAATGAGAAAATAAAGAGTGGGATGTGTGTGATGTTAAACAGAGTTATCTGTCTCTCTCAGACAGCATGCGATTGCGAATTCAGATCTCTTTTTCGTCTTATTGCACTTCAATTGTCAAATACACACACAATTATGTCAAAATGCCCATCATGTGGAGTATTCACGTAAACACAGTCAGTTATGTGTTAAATAAATGCAAACAAGTTGGGTGAAAACCGGATGTGTTTCAGTATATTGGAGACGGTCTTAAAGGGCCAGCTGTCTTATTTACCTGCTGCTGTCTGTCATTAATGTTAATCAAACAACAAAAGACAAAGAGAAAATCACTCACTGCTCTTGATTTAATTACTTTGGGATTTTTACTAAGAATCAATTCATATGTGATTCACACAGTGAGTGACTATGCAGTATTTTAGTTACACTTCATTATTCAATTTCTGTAGTATGTATTTTTTAATAGAGTACATGTTAAATAAATCTACTGTAGTGTAGCTGAAAAACGTAAGTTTATTTAATTTGTATTTTTGTTCTATTGTGTTTGTAATTTGCTTCTTTGTTCGTATTTTTAATAACAAAAATAAAACAACATAAAATAAAAATAGCTATACCGTGATACATATCGTTATCGTAAAATAACATTTCTCAAATCGTGAGATTTTGGTCATAATAGCAACTACCCAAAAAAACTCAAGCAATTTCGTAGCAACACCCAAGCAAATATCCCAGCAACCACCCTAGCAACTACATAAAAACTGATTAAAACCCATTAGCAACCCATTAATTCTTTAATGAACTTTACAAGAGTACCTGGCAAATAAAGAGCACTCCGTTTACCCTGTGCTGTAGATACTGGACTTTACTCCACAGAGAAGTGCGACGCAGATTTGGGAGATCCACGGAGCAATGTGGAGAGCGACAGTCGCTCACCGGACGCTCCTGATGAGGATCAACCTAAAAAGAAACACAGACGCAACAGAACCACCTTCACCACCTATCAGTTACACGAGCTGGAGCGCGCTTTTGAGAAATCCCACTACCCAGATGTGTACAGTCGAGAAGAGCTGGCTATGAAAGTCAACCTCCCAGAAGTTCGCGTTCAGGTGAGCTTTGGGTGATACCAGCTGGGTCACTTAATGGTATTAGATAGACGCAGTGATCAATGTAATTGTATTCCATTACAACCTTGACATTGGGGTTATTTGTTATGGACTTATGTTGATAGGGCATTACAAGGTGAAGCTGTTTAACAAGGGGGTTTTGATTCAGTGAAGAGAATCTGGTTCGTTAAACTGATAAAGCTACATCTGTTAAACCTGTAAAGAAGGGAATGATGGGTGGATTTCAATCCGACGTTACTGAAACTGAGGGCAGTGTTGAGGAGTAACTATAGTTACATGTAACTGCATTATGTAATTTAATTACAAAAAAATAAATGTAACTATAATCTTTTACAGTTACTAAGAAATAATTTGTAATTAAATTACAGTCTCTTATGAAAATCTTAATGATTACAAAAGGGGGTTACATCTGAATATTTTCACACACACACACACACTGAATATTTTCATTTTCACACACACACACACACACACACACACACACACACACAGATTTAATTGATTTCTTTCCCAAATTGCATTGCACCAATGTTTCAGGAGTTTAGGACACAGAATTGGACACATGCTTATTTCCTATTTGGGTTTATGTGTATGCTTTATTTTTTTCCAAGTAATTGTTAGATGCCAGTGTTTCCTGTCAGAGCAAAGATTTGAATTCAAAAACAATATCATAGCTATCAAACTATTTCTTGTTATGATTTTAAATCATAGTAAAAAGAGGTGCTAAAATCTGATTTTGTGGTGTTGTGCTTTAAAGTTCTTATAATCTTAATTCAAGTGATGAAGGATTTTGAAAGACTGACAGTGTTGAGTACTACTGTACGGTTAACCCGGCCTGCTTTAAATGTTTGAAAATTATTAACAGTTGAAAACATTCGTTAGAAATTTATAAAAGTAATCAAAAATGACTCAAATGTAATCAATTACATTACTTTAATACAGTATTTGAAATAGTTACACTACTTATTACATTTTAAATAGGGTAACTTGTAATCTGTAACCGGTTACATTTCCAAAGTAACCTTCCCAACACTGATTGAGGGTTAGGAATATTCTGATATGGAATGCCAACTTAAAAAAAACAAAAAAAACAGATAAATTAAAAAAGTCCAACCTACATTTTTTTTGCTCAGAAATATGCCACATTACAGGTTGTGAATGCCTTCTCATGACTAGAACATGCACTACAATTAATTATCCATCACTTTGACAGGCTTGGTTAGACATTTTCCATCAGTAAAATACAGTAACACTTGATATTTTTAATGTGACACTGACATAATAAGAGCTTATGTGGCAAGAGCTTTTTACGCGTACTCTTAATTTGTTGAGGGATCTTCTTTTATTTTGCTCTCACCCAGAATATCCCATGAATTTTGGCACATCTCTCTCTCTCCCGGTTCATCTTCATTTTCTGCCATTTTCTTCATTTCTAGTCCCTATTAGTATCTTGTACTGTGGGAAGCAGGGAAACACACATATTTTCATTACAATGGAAGTCTATGAGGAAATTGTAAAACACGTTGTGCATAAATGGGCAAATAACACATTGTTTTAAAAGTACAACAATAACATTTTAATGTATGTTAGCATGAGACTGGTAGAATCACTTACCAATGTTGTTTGTGCAAAGTTACATTCAGTCATTCAACTTACACTATGTCAAAACCGTGCAACCTTGTAACTTTTGCATAATGTCCAAGCAAGGATACCAGGAAGGCATCCAACTCTTGGCAAGCTCCATCTATAAGTAGTAGTATGTTGGTACAGGAAGCTCATTGACCTAGAAAAGTATCTCAAACAACAAACATTTTCACTATACAGTTCATTCAAGTTCATTCATTTGTGCTTTTAAACTCTCCAGCACACTCACCTCATAGTCGAAGTTTCTGTGCCAGTCAACATAACGAGGTTGAGTCTAAACAGTTCTCGACTTTGTCCTATTGTACAGGTTTGGTTCCAGAATCGGCGTGCAAAATGGCGGCGACAAGAAAAAATGGACATGGGAAGCATGAAGCTCCATGACTCGCCTATGCTGTCCTTCAACCGACCGGCCATGGCGCCCAACGTAGGGCCAATGACTAACTCTCTTCCTCTGGACCCCTGGTTGTCCTCGCCGCTCTCCAGTGCCACTCCCATGCCCAGCATCCCGGGCTTCATGGGACCCGGCCAAAGCCTCCAGCCCACCTATACGGGCCACCCCGGCTTCCTGAACACTTCTCCAGGCATGGTGCAGAGAATGCAACCCATGCCACCACCTCCTTACCAGTGTCCTCCAGCATTTAATGACAAATACCCACTGGAAGACGTGGACCGCAGCTCTAGCATCGCAGCTTTGAGGATGAAGGCCAAGGAGCACATTCAATCCATGGACAAAACCTGGCAACCCATGTAATGGGAAAATGGGGAGCGTTATAGTATTTTATTGGGATCTTATAGACATTTGGATGCATTTTTAAAAATGACCAGCATCGCAACATTAGGATTAGGGTTCACCCGAATGCCATTGGCGAGATCTGGAAACGTGAAGTATTGAAAGCTTGTTCTCATTTTATAGCTTCTGGCCAATAAGACAAAACTCAGTTTGATTTGAAGGACCTTTGAGAATATTTTCATAACACAACTTATGCTTGGATTTACGCCGATGGTCAAACCTGCTTGGTGCATTGGTTTCAATTTGGGTTGCCAAGTCTGCAGTTTTTTCCATGGAATGGGGCTACTTCTACATTGTTGCCGCGGATTGTTTTTAGTCCACAGGTTAAAGCGATCTCTTCCACCCCGGAATGCAATTAGAATAGCAATTGGGCTGTATTTTTTGTGCAGACCTGGCAACCATGACAACAAAGCACAGACTGTTTGGGATCGTGGCATTTAGTAAGGCGTTTCTTACTTCTTACCCGCACATGTCGAGCTCCGTAGGATTCTGGGTTTCAGTCGGTGCCAAGCTTCTCCAGGTTGAAGACTCGCAATAGCAAGTTTGGCCCGTTGGCAATTTAACAGGACAGCGCAGCTTAGCATTAGCTAACTGATACCTCAATGCCTGTTCAGAGGTTACATTCATGTTCTACCATCTAGACATGAGAAATTATTTGAAGAATCACTTGACTTTGATTTAAAAGAAATGAATTTGATCAAATAAACTTAAACCTAGATACAGAATGACTTTTGAATTGTAACTTTAAATGAGTAGCTGCATTATCAAGCCATGGTGTGAAGACTGTTTCTAATTCAATAGCACATATTTCACCCGTGCCACAGTCCTGTTTGCCATTCAACACGATCATATAATCATATAAAATGAGTCTGAGGTTTAACGTTTCAGTGTCTGTGGGGTCTGTTTCAAGCACTGATGGTCAAATGTCTCAAAAGGTGAATTTTATGAAGAAAGTCTGTTATATTTCACCCCAAAAATAAGAGGACAGTATAAGAAATTATATATTTGCACAAACAAAATTAAGCCAATTTTATTATGTATTTTTGACCCAAAATTCTCATTACTGGAATACTGTAACATCCCATCCCATCCCATCCCATATATATATATATATATATATATATATATAATTATTAAATATCAAAAGTATTATTAATATTAAATAAAATATGTTTACATAATACATTTTTTCACATTACCTTCAAAAAACAGTCTTCCAATCATATTAAATAATCTTAAATTAAATTCAAGGAGTACTACAATTTGAATGAAATGCTATTAAATATTAAGTGTATTATTAATATTAAATAATTATTTATATAAAAAATATTTAAATATACTTTTTTGTAAATTTCTTTTGCTTTTGGGCTGAAATATGACCTGGGCACTTCACATTTTTCAGACTCTTCCCAGAAATGGAAGTTGATTTTCACTTTGCATAATTTGATGTCTTAATTAAAGATGAAGTATTAGTATTATGAAATTGAAAATATCTTCAGTATTTTAATCAAAGTGTCACAGCTTACCCCAAATCACACATCCGCAGCCAACAAACATACTGAATGGTAATTTGGTCCAGCGGTCAGAGCCTTGGCCTGTTTTTGGCACTGTCCACATTAAGGGGTGTTAAGAGATCCTGAAATGAAGGAAGTATAAAAAAAAAAAGAATAATACATAAGGGAATGTATGACATCCACAAGTGCTTAGCAGAAGCATTTGCAATGCATTCGAATAGTATTTTGGACAGAAGTCACACTAAAAATGAATGTCATTGCATTAGATGAGAAAATATCAAAGCAATTGATATTTATGTTAAATAAAGATAGTTGAGCACACCTTTCCAGCAAAACATTTGACCAAAAACAAGTGATAAAACAAGAGATCTAGAAAAAATGATGACTAAAAAGCACCAAAACACCAGCTTATTAGAATTAATTGAGCAAAAATGATTGAAAAAATGATTGCAGACAATTGAATGACATTTACAAATACTGTCTAAGCAGTGATTTCTCAGTACTGCTTTTTTCGGACTTGTCATCAGCACAGAAGCTTTGTGAGGTCATTAGTGGATTGTGTCGCTGTCGTAGCAGGTGTGTGTGTGTGTGTGAGGACGCGGAATGAGCGGCTCCCCGCCGGGACTCTTCATTGTTTAAGGTTATCGATCGCCCCTCTGCTCTGAACTAACGGGCGTCCCAGCCAGGTGTCAGAACTGCTGCACGTCATTTAAATGTGCAAACGCTGTCCTTCCAATCGATTTGAGAAACAAACTGTGTCTTATCATATTCCTTTTCAGTTCTAACCGATGGTATCATGATAAGTTGAATACTTTGTGGACTCTGTAACTATGCAAAGAGGGAAAAAAATACATATCATGATCCATTATACACATTTTTTATGCACTGTGATGATGCAAATGGTACAAAACAAAAGCTTGAACTTGGATGCAAAAGCATTATTGATTCTACAGTATGTTTGACATTTTGTTTATTTTGTAGGTGTGTATTCAAGAGTATTATTAATAAAATAGAGTTCTTATTAAAGCACGGTTTATGGATTTCTGTGAACTGCGATGAAGCCAAAAAGATAGTATTTTCTTTAAAGATGTGTACACTTAGACCTCATAGGAGTGGTTTCTGTCACAGTTGTTGCAGCTTTATATATAAATTGTCTTTATGTTTGTTACAGTGTTTTTGGGGTGGGACATTTGAATGTTATTAAATATGTCTTTAGATTTTTTTGAGATAAAGTCGTTGAATTTTTTGCACTAACAATTGGAATAAAGATGAATGATTAAAATGCATGACTGGTTAACTTTTATAGTTAATATAAAGATATGGCACTAACAGGGAGCTCATTCAAAATGTTAATTAAATGTAAAAATGTAAGTTTATATCTAAACACTACGTGAAAATGTTTTGTTAGTTCACCTAAAAAAGTACTACATGTGCAAATTAACTAGTTTTGGTCAAAAATATAATTTAATATTGCTAACAAAATTCGAATGATAAATCAAATATTGTAAAATATTCTCTCATTGCTCACATAATATTGTAAATCACATGCTCAAATGCAACAATTTAGTTATTTTCAGGTAAACTATAACTAAAAGAAAAGGAAATAGCATTCATGTATGAATTTTTAATATCAATCCACTGCAACACTGTCAAAATTAAAAATATAACGCAATGCCCAAATGATAAATCATATTACTGACATCATTTGAGCAGTGTTTAAGAACATCTGATTCATTACTTTTTTTAAACAAGAATTTTTTAATCTATAAAGGAACAGTTCACCCACAAATGAAAATGTGCTGAAAATGTGTTCACCTTCAGGCCATCCAAGATGTAGATGAGTTTGTTTCTTCATCAGATTTGGAGAATTAGATCACTTGCTCACCAATGGATCCTCTGCAGTGAATGGGTGCCGTCAGAATGAGAGTCCAAACATCTGATAAAAACATCACAAAGGGACAAGTTTTTTTTTTTTTACAAGCCAAAACAGTCCAAAACAACTATAAACAATTATGTGGGTGGATTTTGATGTGAGAGACAACAGGAGATGGGCTTTATCACTGGATTACTGACTCATGTTTTGGCCAGTAGTGATGGTTTAAAGTTAAAAACGCCTTAATGATGGATTTGTTTCTTACAAACACGCAGCTTTTGGCTTCACAAGATGTTAATTGATGGACTGGAGTGGTGTGGATTACTTGTGCATTATTGCTCTCATTCTGACGGCACCCATTCACTGCAAGAGGATCCATTGGTGAGCAAGTGAAGGTATGCTACATTTCTACAAATCTGATGAAGAAACAAACTCACATACAGTTTGGATTGCCGGATGGTGAGCACATTTTCAGCTAATTTAGATTTTTAGATGAACTGTTTGTTTAAATATCACACATGAAACTGAGCTCTGAGCTCAACTAGTGACTGAAAGAGTTTTCCCCCTCATTAGTGAGCGTGTTCAGTGGCCCTGACTAGGTTGTGGGTGTAGTGGCTTGTCCTCGCCTGCCCTTGCAGGTTAACGGCACCAAGCCAGCCTGTTAAGAAGATGAGCCGGCCGTCCATCAGTCCTCCGCAGGGGACAGTGTGAGGGGGGCGGCTCTTCACCCCTACGATCCGGCCTAATTGCCCCATGTTCTGCTGCTGGTTTCCATGCTTCAGTGACACAAAACACACACACAAGCATACGGTCCTCCTAAATCAAATTACATAATACATTAATGCCATGTAGAATAAATACATTTACATCATCTATTTCCTCTCAAGCATCATATTTTGCAACACAGAATAATAAAATGGAAGTACGGGAATTATGTAGTGAACACATGCCAATGTTAGTTTTATTTTAGTTATACTGTAAAATGAATCTTTTTCTAATGTGGTTAAACTGGCTGTCAGTGCGCCCTATTACATGACCTGTGATGAGTGTCGACTGACGAACGTGAACTAAAGGTCAGAGGTCAAGAGGCTGACCGGTGCTCATTTTTACAGATGACGTCAGTTCAGGGATTCTACATGGATGCTGTAGAAGTTTAATTAAAGAAATGTAGCTTTAGTTAAAAATAAGCGACAGGTGACTAAATGAAACTCAAATAATTTATCTGACATGCAAGTCCAGAATGAACAAAAATGCTAAAATAAACAGAACTAGAGTTACTTTTACAAGAAAATGTGCAGTGCTCATGCATGCAAAACTTGCCACCTTGATGTTAGAGTATTGCTAGATGGTCGCTAGGGTGTTCTGCTAAGTACCGTACAGTTGTCAAAAAACAATGGTTGTTTTCCACCCATTTATCGAATTATCTGTGTAGCAGAAATCAAAGGTCTAGTGTCTTGAAATATTATCAGCAAACACTGCTTTTCTTACATAGTATTTTTGTCTGGTTTTCCATTACAAATAAATAAACCTGGGTTTCAAAAATAAATAAATAAAAATCTAAATTAAGTGAGTTTATGCTTAAAACAAAACAAAACAACAAAAAAAAGTAAAATAGGGTAAGAAAAACAAATATATATATTTTTTTATTTGAGTTATACAAATTGACAGATAAATTTTCTTTTTTTACTTTTTCAAAATTAAGTGAATTTATAATTAAATTAGAAGAAATCTGTCAATGGGGTGAAACAATATTTTGTCTTCCCTTTGAATTGCACAGATTGACAGATATTTTTTTTATTTTCTCAAATTTAATTGAGTTTATGCTTAAAACAAGAAAAATATCTGTCAATGGTGTAAGAAAAATAATTTTGTTTTCCATTTGAATTATACAGACATTTTTTTCCCTATTTTTTTCTTAATAATTAAGTAGTTTTATTCTTAAAACAAGAAAAATATCTGTCAAAGGGTAAGAAAAATAATCTTGTTCTCCCTTTGAACTGTACAGATTGACAGATATTTTTTGTTTTAAGTTTAAACTCACTTAATTTAGATTTTTTTTTTCTTTCAGAAAACAATACAATCTTGAATCATTTCGCTTCTCAAGTAAATGCATCTTGAGTTAACAATGTTTAGATATTTGTACTGGAAAACAAGACAAAAATAATGAGTAAGAAAATAATTTTCTTGCAGTGAATATCAGTCACCCTATTCTCTAAAATTTAAGGTGGCCATATAAGACGGATATGTTTTTTTCACATTAGCCAATGCCAATATTTAGAGTCTAAATATTGGCATTGGCTAATGTGAAAAAAACATATCCGTCTTCCTCTCAATGGGGTGAAACAATATTTTGTCTTCCCTTTGAATTGCACAGATTGACAGATATTTTTTTTATTTTCTCAAATTTAATTGAGTTTATGCTTAAAACAAGAAAAATATCTGTCAATGGTGTAAGAAAAATAATTTTGTTTTCCATTTGAATTATACAGACATTTTTTTCCCTATTTTTTTCTTAATAATTAAGTAGTTTTATTCTTAAAACAAGAAAAATATCTGTCAAAGGGTAAGAAAAATAATCTTGTTCTCCCTTTGAACTGTACAGATTGACAGATATTTTTTGTTTTAAGTTTAAACTCACTTAATTTAGATTTTTTTTTTCTTTCAGAAAACAATACAATCTTGAATCATTTCGCTTCTCAAGTAAATGCATCTTGATTTAACAATGTTAAATTAGATATTTGTACTGGAAAACAAGACAAAAATAATGAGTAAGAAAATAATTTTCTTGCAGTGAATATCGGCCACCCTATTCTCTAAAATTTAAGGTGGCCATATAAGACGGATATGTTTTTTTCACATTAGCCAATGCCAGTAATTAGAGTCTAAATATTGGCACTGGCTAATGTGAAAAAAACATATCCGTCTTCCTCAGGTAGAGCTGAAAACTGTTAAGATCTCTTTGCACAGACCACAAAAACTGCAACACTGACTGTGATTCACTGCTAAATGAGTGCTTTATTTTCCTGGCTCGGGCTCGGGTCTGATAATAATGAACTGATTGTGTGTGTTTTTCGGTCCTCACGCTGTGCAGGGATCTGGAACTTGGGATGTAGTTAACTCTCTGATTAGTGGAACATGCTCTACGGTGAAAATAATAAGGGAAGCAAGCGGAATTAATCGGGTTTGATTTCTACAGCTTTTCTATGTCCTCTTCACATGCCATAATGAGACGGTTTGGCATGGCGACAGGAGGGGGAGCGAGAACGTGCTTGACCATTGTTTTCCCTTTTTTGTGGCTTGTGAGGACATGTTTGAAATCACATGTTGCCATATTACTCGCACTATTTTTGCAGTATGCAGTGTGTATGCATGAAATGCATTGTGTGCTAACTTTATACATGCATGGAAAACCCAGACTAGCCTACTTCATCTGCCAAAGAATTTAGTATATTCACAACAAACACAGAGTGAAATAATGCACTGCAGTGAACTTGACCTCCTATTTCCAATGTAAACTGGAAGCTAAAATATATTCAATTTCTTTCTGACTTCAGACTTCAAATTGGATTTAAAATGCAAAACAATCGTATGTATTGCAAACATGCAACTCTCAAGAAAAATAGCATGGATATCTGTCATTAATTTAACCTTAATTTAGTTTAGGCAAAAATTGTTAATTAATCTATCTAGAAAAATAGGCTGCAGTTCAACATTGGTTGGTTAACACATAATCACTAAATCATGAATGTACAAGCATGTACAAAAAATACCTGATCACAGAGTCACAGCGCCATCTACAACTGCTCAATTGAACTGCACTAACAACGCAATTGTCCAATATGCATGAGTCCCCACTAAATAAACTCTAACAGCATTTGCAAACCATTTTTTCTTTTGTAATGTGACAATATTTTAGAGTGAAACAGGATATTCAGTGTGAGAACATGTAGGGACTTGGAGTTGATTTTATCCACAAGTCTAAATTGCATTGTTGCATTGCTTTATATTATTTAGATATTTCTGCAGTGTGCATCTGTGCATGCTTTATGGGCTAATCATTGCAATACAAGGCAAGTTTGTGACCGTTCACATAATTCATAAATAATGTGAAACTGATGCTGCCACAAGTAGGCTATGATTCGACAGGTAATAATTACTTTTAAAGGGTTAGATTAAAAATGAAAAGTAAAAAAAATTATTTACTTACCCTCATCTCGCTTAAAAGCTTGTATGATTGTCTTTTTCTGTGGACCACAAAATAAGAAGATTAGCAGAATGTCCACACTGCTCTTTTGACCTATAGGGAGGGATGTTAAGCCACAAAAATGTAATAAACTATCTGTTAATATTACAATTTTTATGGTTATGTTCCTGAAAGGGTGTAAATGTAAAAGAATCAGCTTATTCATTGCAGCTTAAATATACTTCCTCATATTCCTTCTCAAGTTTCTCTAAGTTCTGAAGTTTGTTTCCTAGCAATAGCTGCTCTGAAAACAAATCAAATGCATGACAGCCCTGCAACAACTTTTATTGTAGGAATGACTGGAAACTGCATTTTGATTCATCTTAAGCCTTGAGGATTTATAGATTCAACACGTTGTTTATTGTAAATGTTTGGGTTTGTTATTGTCGTTTCTGAAGCGTTTTCCATAAGTTGTCTTCAAACACGATACGCAATTTATTGTCTTTTACAGTTTACCATGTCAAAGTCAACAGACAAAGCAGAGCAAGCTGTATTTAGAGGAAAACAAAACCCCGTATTTGTGTAAGCACCGTTTTCCGCGTACACGTCTCGCTGTGAAAATCTCACTCAACCGGCCTTCCCTCTGATGCTACCCTGGAAACTGATCCTGAGTCAGTTTTGTCTTGTCATGTGACGCGACCGCGGGTCATTGCGTACAGTAACGGCTGGTCTGAGAACAGCAAAAGAGGCGGATACAGTATCCGGTGTAGAGGCGAGCCAGGCACTTCGTGGTCTCTTGTGATTGGTCGAGGGCGTCAGCTGTGGACCAATCAGCGGCAGACATCTGTGCAGCCACGCGCTTCTCCCGAGCCACTGATAAACCGAGAGCAGCAAAGCGCGAGAGGGACGGAGGGAGTGTGCGGGTTAATTCCTCAAATTAACAAAAATGCAAATGATTACATTATTCCAGCTTGTTTCTGCCTCAATATTGGCACTGGCTGCCAATGCAGAGGTGTATTTTAAAGAGCAGTTTCTGGATGGAGGTGAGTGGATCATTGAACTTGCATGTCATGGTTGATTTATAGGTCACAACATTAAAAGTGACATTAAAATCGGTTCTCGACTGAATAATTAATAGGCTGTGATGGTTAATTATACTTTTGTTATGTTTGGAAAGTAAATGTTATTACTTAGCAGTATTGGTTTACGCATATTAGTTTGCCAGAGCAAAAATGAAACCATCAAAAATTATTCTTTCTTTCTTTCTTTCTTTCTTTCTTTCTTTGCATTGCACAATGAATGTTACAGTACTGAAGAAGTGCATTATGGCACATGGGTTGTTGACATTCATTAACTTTTAAAAACATAAAATCAAAACATTTAGGTTAAATTTTAGGTTATGTATGCTTGTGTACTCCTACAAGTTGACAAAATATAGAATTTAACGAGTTGAAACTTCTGTTCTGGGACCAAAGGTTCTGATGACTCTTCTTGCACCGAGGGGCGTGTCCAAATATTTGTCCAATAAAATGCTCTGGTTAACGAGAAAGCCACGCCCCTTGAGACCCATGACAGCAAAAGAAAGTATCAAATCATGTTTCACGGCTGTGATGTAAACTCAATTCTATTGGCTATTTAAATAGTTTTATGGAATGTCACACCACACCACAGTATACTGATTAAATGTCATGTGCCCACTGCATCTTATAAGTCATCATTTAAGGCTTTGTCTAATTGGTTTGTTAATTGCACAAGATGTGTTTAGGTATATGTATTTAAACAATTTTTGATCAAACATATCAGCGAATACGTTTTGATAATGCAAATGAAAGCAAAACTTAAATTAGCGCATGTAAACTGCACGTGTCTATCAAATGGGTTTGCAAGAACAGGAAGTTTCTTAAGTTATTCCACAAACTTCCTTAAATATCAATCATTAAACGTGTGTGGAATGTGATTAAACCTGCAACCCTCATAAACTCTTCCCGTTTCCTCTTCAAGTTCATAGATAAAGAGCTATATAATTGCACAAATCTTGTACAGTTTGAGTTCGTAAGTTAGCTGATGATGACATAAATATTTATATAGTGTTTTTTATGATGTCTTTTTCAATAGAAATGTAATTATTATTTTTACTCATTATTTAGCACCTCGTTTTAATATAATTGTTATTGTCATTTGTTATTATTAAATGGTATATTTTGTTTTCTTGTCATTTCTTGTTTTGTTATAAAGTTTTGGCAATACTTTATATAAACACAATTATGCCAATAAAAAAAAAAATATATATATAAATAAATTTCCTTTTTAGGAAGGTAATCACATTTGATTTAATTTCAGTTAACATACATTTTATTTCAAGTAATCAAAGTGTTTTTTAAATGGTTTTAATTTTAGTTAACAGTAATAACCCTGGTTTGTTTCATAACTGATTTACTTTGCAACATAGACACTGTTATAGAACTGAATCGAATCTAAATTGATCTGAATAATGACATTATTGTCTTCTGTAGAGCTGCTTTACAGCTAAAATTGAATTTGTTTCATAATAGTTGAATTTTACAACATAAACACTCTTATTTTCCTGTTTTTAAATGTGAAACTGCTTTGAAACAACTTGTGTATTTGCATGAAATGTCCCTTTTTAGTATACTAATCCTGCTTTCATCTCAGTTACATTCTCTGATATTGTTTTATCCTTATTTCTTCTCTTCTAACTTTATTATCTGAATTCGCAGATGCCTGGAAGAGTCGATGGGTGAACTCGGAGCACAAATCTGACTATGGCCAGTTTAAACTAACCGCCGGAAACTTCTACGGAGATGCTGAGAAAGACAAGGGTAGGCTTTTACATCCCTAAAAATAGGCCTGGGCGATAAAATGGTATCGATATTTATCGACGGTACACCTTCCTCGATAACTATATAAATCCTATGAGTGACGCAGACAGCACACGCAAACACAAACATGAGGGCTGTGCCTGCCTGTGATGAGGATATTGTGAAAAAAAAGAAAAAAAAAGAATATTAGTCTAATATAAAATAAACATTTGTATTTGAATGCAAAAATAGTACAATCCAATGTTAGGTGTGCGTCATGGAGCGTCATCAGTGGCGCGCGAGATGCGGTGATGATGATGTAAGTGACGTTGTTGCATTTTAATGTTTTGTCAGTCTAGCCCACGAGATGTGCCGCTGCTGCGTTATTCGTTCAAAATATTAGAGAAATATAGAAGCTCAATGCCATTCACACAGAACGCATATTCAGCGCATTTTCTAGACGGACAAATATGACTGCTGCACTCGCGTCTCACAGAAGAGATGTATAGAAAGCCATGCAAAGTTAAAACAGTTTAAACTTTTAGAAAACACGTCACGAATTTGTGGAGGTTTATTCCCTTTCACTGCGTCTCATATGTTTTTGAAGGCAATCTGCTTCGGCTCTTTGGATTAAGCAATGCATAAATACGTGATGCTGTTTTGTTCTTAATTGTTTATGCAATTTACGAAATTATATTTGATTTATGTTTGAGTTAATTTAGACGTAATGCACGTTTTTTTATTTGACAATTTAATGTGCTGCATTATTTTGCTCATTGCGCCCTCCTGTGGCCTCGGGAAACAAGCCAAAAGTTTAACCTATTTAATCTGCATTAAAAAACATTAGAAATTAGATATGCTTAATTTTTATTGTGTGTTTGACTGTTAAAACAAAAAAAAATGTTGTTTGTCTCAATAAATTGAGTTAATTTAAAAATACAGTGGTTAAATGTAAACATTTTTTTCTATTGCTCTTTGTTTTAAAAAAGGTTATAAAAAATGTCAATAATTATTGATACCGAACGATATGAAACATTATATAGTTATTTTACGTATTTTAGCTATATCGCCCAGCCCTACCTAAAAACTTTACCTTTGGTTCAGCAAAGAAGCAAATGATGATTTTGCTTGACTTTTCTTCACCAACAGGTCTGCAGAGCAGCCAGGATGCCCGTTTCTACGCCACCTCAGGCCGCTTCGAGCCCTTCAGCAACGAGGGCAAACCACTGGTGATCCAGTTCACCGTCAAACACGAGCAGAAGATCGACTGCGGAGGCGGATACGTTAAAGTCTTCCCGGCTGATCTCAATCAGGCTGACATGCACGGAGACTCCCAGTATTACGTCATGTTCGGTACGTCGACCGTAACGCCTGGATTTATTATAGGAAAGGAGTCATTTATTTATATTTTCGTGTCTGAATCATCTCAACAGGGCCTGATATCTGCGGCTATAGCACCAAGAAGGTCCACGTCATCTTCAACTACAAAGGCAAGAATCACCTCATCAAGAAAGAGATCAAATGCAAGGTGAGTTCCTGTTAAAAAGTCTAATTCAAGCCAGGGTTTTAAAAGACAATATTCAGTAATAATATCGATTTAATGCACTGAGACAGTCAGACAAGAACAAAATTTGATCTGAATTGAGCTGATAATGATAAAGCTTTGACATTATTGAACTGAATTGAATTTACGTTGAACAAAATTTGTAGGGCTGGTCCGAATACCATTTTTTTGAGCTTCGAAGCTTCGGTAGTAATAAACACCGGATATTCAAAACTTCGGAGGGAGGGGGCTGAACATATTCTTCTCTCTAATAAAGGCAGGAATCTCTGTCTGTCTGTTTGCATTTTTATTATGTCGAGAATAGGGTTGTGACGGTGAGGAAATTTTCCCACCGGTTAATCGACGTGTGACATCACGGATAATACCGGTATCACCGCGGGGGCATTCCCTCTTTTCCTTCGCTTTTAAATGGCTTGTAAAAGCGGCATGCACATTTCACTTTCACTTTCAAATAGCGGCAATTCGGCGTAAAGCAATTGTTCGTTTTTAGTTTGTTTGAATTTTCCCTATTTTCCTCGTTTTCCTTCACTTTTAAATAAAATGCGCATTTTACTTTCACTTTCGAATTAGCGGCAGTTCGGCGTCAATTGCTTGAATGCAACAACAAAATACAACGTCAAACTCACTTTAACCTATATATAAAACATAGAACTTTTATTAACAAAACGAATAAAAATACACCATGCTATAGGGCAGGCTATGCCTAATATAAAATAACAAATAACTTGCATAGAGTTTAAATAGGTATACAAAAATGGAAATAAGTAAATATGTAGCCTATAATATATAACCAAATAAATAAGAAACGTAGAACGTTTATTAGCAAAATGAGTAAGAAAGCTTGGAGGCACGGCATACACCTTGATGTCAAATAAAATAAATAAATTACACAAAGTTTAAATAATGTAAAAATCAGCAAACACTGTGGAACCAATTAAATAAGAAACGAATGTTTAAAAAAACTTCCAAAATCACCTTAGATAAATGGCAAAAGTCAACAGGCTTTTAATATTCCAAAATACTGCCAAACAGGTGCTTTTGCATTTCGTTTCGAAACTACAGAATGAGAACCGTTTCGCGGGGGATGCCAGGTGTTCGGGGAAAAAAAAAAAAAAGAATATTAGAATCTCAAAATTGAAAATCGAATGCCAACCCACCGAACGAATAATCGAATATTCTGGTCCAGCCCTACTAAATTGATCTGAATAAAGAAACTATTGTTTTATGTAGAGTTGCTTTTACAGCTGAAATGGAATTTGTTTCATAATTTAATAATTAACACGGCTATTTTCCTGTTTATAAATGTGAAGCTGCTTTGAAATGAACTGTAATGTGTAAAACACTTTCTAAAAAACAAAAACAAAGAATAGTTCAGCCAAAAATGGAAACCGTGTCATCTAATCATGTACTCATCGTTACTAGCAGAATATCTGGAATATTTTCCATGCAATAAAATTGAATGATGACTTTGAAAATACTGATAATTGCATGTGTGATAAATGCATGCTGGGATGATTTCCATATGGCCCAAAATAAAATCTTTTCAAAATATACTAACACTTCCTACCAATATATTTTTGGGCATTTTATTTTTGAAAATATATATTTTATAAGTGTAAATATATAAAAAAAACGTTTAAATACATATTTTGCCCTCCATTCACATATGTGACCCTGGAGCACAAAAGCAGTCTTAAGTCGCTGGGGTATATTTGTAGCAATAGCCAACAATACACTGTATGTGTCAAAATTATCGATTTTTCTTTTATGCCAAAAATCATTAGGATATTAAGTAAAGATCGTGTTCTATGAAGATATTTTGTAAATTTCCTACCGTAAATATATCAAAACTTGATTAGTTTTGATTACTTTTGATTACTTGAAAACTTTTGATTAGTAATATGCATTGCTAAGAACTTCATTTGGACAACTTTAAAGGAGATTTTCTCAATATGTTGATTATTTTTTGCACCCTCAGATTCCAGATTTTCAATGAATGAAGGTTGAAAGTAAATATATTGTCAGTTTCAAAAATATATTTTGTTGCGTTTCACGGTTTACAACATAAATTTAGCATTTATTTCAAATATATTTTAGCCAGAAAATATCTATTTTTTGCCAAAAGGGAATAGAGTATCTGTAAAATAATTGTCATAGAAAAAATTACTCTCTTTCTCTCCATGCAGGATGATGAACTGACTCACTTGTACACATTGATCCTGAATCCGGATCAGACCTACGAGGTGAAGATTGACAACGAGAAGGTGGAGTCTGGCTCTCTGGAGGAGGACTGGGACTTCCTGCCCCCGAAGAAGATCAAGGACCCTGAAGCCAAGAAACCTGAGGACTGGGACGACCGCGCCAAGATCGGCGACGAGACGGACACTAAACCTGAGGTTTGATTCGGTCTCATATCACCTGCGAGGCAGAGCCGGGTCACTTTCAGCTTTTAACTCTGACTGTGTAATGTTGCCAGGACTGGGATAAGCCTGAGAACATTCCCGATCCTGATGCCAAGAAGCCAGACGACTGGGATGAAGATATGGACGGAGAGTGGGAACCTGCCATGATCCCAAACCCAGAGTACAAGGTACAGACTTACATGCAGGGTCTAAAATTAACACTCGCCAAGCGCCAAATGCGAGTAAAAATAAGAGTTGGCGAGTCCATGTAACCGTGTCAGTCGCCAGTTGGCGGGTACAACTTTTACGAATTATAACAATGCAATGAAGTGAAAACAACAGCCAGTTTTTAAAAAGATTCGCTGTTTCTGACATAAGCGAATAAAATAATCTTTTCCGAAGACAAGATCATCGTGATTAGCTGTTCTGTCATAAGCGACAAGAGCGACTCGAATAATAGGATACAAACGGACTGATA